ACAACATTGACATTTTTAATATTGATCTCAGATTCTATGTCATCTGTGGGTGAGGTGGCATGGGCGGAGTTGTAAAGAAGGCCGGGGGGAATGACAACTGGTTTTGGGGATTTGACCTAGAATGTACCGATACAAAACAAAAAAAAATGGTGATTAAAATGTCACTCCGATAAGGAGACATCATGGAGGATAAACAAGGTGAGTTAGGTTCTGGACCTTGTTAAAGGGTACACGGTGAGAGTTGAGGATTTCGAGGCATGTTATAAAAAAATAAGGGTCTCGAGTGAAGAAACAGCGAAAATTGCGGATATCGACGAGAGGTACACAAGGATGGTTAAAGATCTCGAGAAGTGGTATCATGGTTGTTAAAGGTCTCCTGGGATGATACAGATGATAGTTGAGGACCTCGAGGTGTAATACACAATGATAGGTGATAATATTGAGGGGAGACACAAAATGATAGTTAAGGATGTCGAGGGGAGAAAAAATAACTGGGGGTCACGAGGATAGATACACAATGCTAGCTGAGGATCTCAGGGGAGAGGATGTTGAGGATGTGAGGGGAGAGAAAAAAGATAATTGAGGATCTTGAGAGGAGATATGCAATGCTACTTTAGGATTCCAGGGGAAATACACAATGATGTTAGAGGATCTCGAAGTGAGGTACACAATGCTAGTTGAGGATCTAGAGGGGAGACATAAAATGATAGTTGAGGATGTGAGGGGAGATAAAAACATGATAATTGAGGATCTCGAGGGGAGACATACACGGATAGCGAAGATCTCGAGGAGAGTACACATTGATGATTGAGGATCACAAGATGAATTACCCAATGCTTGTTGACGATCTCGAAGGGGGACACACAATGACAGTTAAGGATGTCCGAAGGGATTCGCTGATTTTGTTGAGGATGTCGAGGGCAGACACATAATGATAGTTGAGAATATCGAAGGAAGATAAAAATGATGACTGAGGATCTTAAGGGGAGATATATGGATAATGATGATTTCTAAGCGGGTACACAATAATGATAGTTGAGGATCTCGTGGGGAGATACACAAAGACAGTTGAGAATATAGAAGGGAGACACCCATGCTATTTGAGAATATCGAGATATATGTGGAAATTGATGATTTCGAGAGGAGTATACAATGATATTGAGGATCTCGAGGAGAATTACACAATGATAGTTGAGAATATTGAAAGGAGATAAAAATGATGACTGGGGATCTTAAGGGGAGATATACGTGGATAATGAGGATTTCGAGGGGAGAACACGATGATAATTGGAGATCACGTGGAGTGATACGATGATATTTGAGGACCTCGAGGCTAGAAATGTATAATAGTCCAGGATTTGGTGGAGAGATAGTTGAGGATATACAAATGAAGGGTCTCGAGGGATGATACAGATGATAGCTGATGCCCTCGAGATATGATACACAATGATAGGTGAAGATCTCGATTGGTGTTACCGATGATAATTGAGGATCTCCTAGGGAGATATACACCGATATCTAAGGATTTCGAGGAAAGACCACTATGATGGTTGAGGATCTCGAGGTCAGGTACACAAGTGAGTCTGTTCCAGAACAAAGTGTGGGACTTGGAAGGGAAGCTCACAATGATAGTTGAGATCTTTCATGACAATTGAGGACTTCGAAAGGAGGGTCCTCTGGCAGCTGAGGACTTTGAAGGGGGAATACCCAAGAGCGGTTGGACACCTCGAAAGGGACGGGATATTCATTAGTATTGGTAGCTAAGGACCTCGAAGTGAAAGGGTGTAGCATGAAATAGATACCAATTATAGGGTTTTATATTGAACATCCAGGAGAGTGTCGCATTTAATTCAAAATCGTCTTTGTATGAATTTGATAACAATTGTTAGAAATGATAGTCTGAAAGATAGCCCCAGCTACAAATTTAGTTTTATATTAACGGTGCTACACATTGTACCACACGCGCGTCATTTTGACAGAATTTGTTCGGATAGTGTACCTAGACAGTCATGAAGATCTTATTTACTTTTAACGGAAAAGAAATTATCTCACTTTTTACTTTTGATAAATTCCATATGTTACCAAACATTGAATATTGAAAAAAAATGAAAAGGATGATTATGAAAAATAGCGTTACACAAATTGTACGTCCAAGCACGCCCCTGGGAGGACTGTCTTGTTATACTCCAGTTATAAATTATGGCATATTTTCTTTAACATTATTTTGATATCGATTAGAAACATCAGAAATTTATTTGTCCGCACCAATTCGATTTTGTCAGTGTTTCAATAAACTTGAAAGATATATGATTTGTATTGGATGAAATAAAGGCTTGGAATAGTTGTATGTATATCTGTAGATACAACTCGTCTGTTATAGACAAATAAACAAACACGGTAGTTCCTTCAGTGACAGCTAGAATAACATATACGGGTCATAGATATATAGATATTGTTGCATTTTATTTATTTATTCTTTTTTTTAGATTGATGAGCAATTTCCTTTTAATGGTTTAAACTTTGTCAGATGAGAAATTAATTACATGTCATAAAGTTAAATAATTCCATGATTTATATACAACACGAATCTTAAAGTTACATGTATCTTGACTTTCCAATGACATTTTCTGTGAATGCATTTAACCACAAAGACAAAAGTGTACAATCATTTATTGTATTAACGATAAGTTTTTCATATCAGTAAAACTAATTGGCTTTGTGGTTCCTTAAGGGCTTACAACAACCTCTGTCGACTATGAATAAGAAGCATTTCGAGTAAAACATACGTTCTTTTCATGTTTCCATTGTCTTATTTCTTATGTTTAAAAGCTTCATATAATGTTTTGTATACAAAACGGATAGAATTTATATGAGTGGAAACAACATGAAAACATCCTATTTATGGAGTAACATACAGTGTATAACTTAAAAGTTTTATGAAAAGATGGTCAGAAACGTTTTCCGAAAGCTTGCTATATCTACTCAGTGTTTGGCTCTCACTCATATCCATATTAATTTGATAAACATCGATTTATTTAAGTGATTGTGACGTTACGGTGAAGTTAACACCGAGTCCTGCTATCTACCTACACCATCAATAAAAGATTTGCCAATGTAAAGGAGTCTCTCGTCGTTCAAAAGAAATATTAACCATTTGGTCAGTGATTTGACCATTGGTCATTTGACCCGATTGGTATCCAAAAGGTACAAAAGAAACATGCGTCACAGATGTTTGAGACGTGCTAACGGGTTCCGAGCGAATTAACGGTACTGGGTATTGTGAGGATGATGTTAAAGGGATCGGGTATCAATACCCAGCACCACCTCACGTTCTAGTCACATAAAAGGGTCAAATAGTGTCACGTGATATCACGACAAAGCAAACACTCCAGATTGATCAATAATTCATGCCCCACAATGTGACATTTAGCATTTTCGAGTAATTCCGGATAATTTTCCGGTCCGTTAATTACACACCTGTTCCGGTAAAAGCAAATAGTTAATATCATCCCGATATTCTTTGTTTACAAACAAGTCACAATAAACATGACGGATGTGTTAGAATAGATTTCCGTTGAGAATGGTAGTGATTTTTACATCAAATATCCCCTGGTGATATTCTATGTAGAATTTAACCAATATTTTGCTCAGTTATTTCTTATATATATATATATAGTAGTATAATCCGTTATTAAGTTCGTGTAAATGATATTTCAGTACAATGAGATATCTAGTATATATCTGATGATTGCAAAACACACACTATCATTGTATATGATCGAAATTGTCTTTTTCTAAAGTATGTGTACTGCTTCGAGATTGACATACTACGTGTTCATCTGTAAGATTTTTTTTTACCATTCCTTTTCTATCAGCTCTGTGAGAAAAGATTCAAATTTGTTTACAGCATATTAAATCTTAATTTTGAAATTAGATTATAGCTTTGGAAATTACAATTTGTCAATTTTTGTTAGTATTAGTAATATTCATGAATGGTTTATGCAGTCATTATAACCAAATCAATCAGTATTGTCCTTTAATAAAAGCTTTGTGAATAAGAAGTTGACAATACTATCGTTTCAACTTTTGCCTAGTTGCATATAACAGATTCCAATCTAAATAAAAACGACATTCCAGGCAGTATCACAGAGAAAGGTCCGTTAAGCGGCGTGGGCGCTCCGAGGGGCGTGGTCTGTTGTATTTTGACATTCCTAACTACCACGTGCTTTTGTTATGATACGAAATCGACCTTCTGTCACTTTACCGCTGAGGAAATTCACAAAATTATTTAAATCTCTCCTTGAAAAATATCATTTTAACGGACGCGTATTAAAAACCTCATTGTAGACACCGACCTGAGAAGAATTTTATCAAGAGAAATTCATTTTTCAAAACGTTAGTATCATCTGATTGCCACACAGCGCAGGGATCAATATCACAGTATTCCTCCGGCGGCGTGTGTAGATGATCAGAGCATGTGTTGTAAGATATTAGTGTTGACCCGTTGAGCCATCTGATTGGACTGGGGAATCCCATGATTCGAGTCCCGTTGGTCGGGAGGCGGGCGGTTCGCAATCGATGTCTGTATTACGGCATTTGATTGGCTGTTCGGGTGACATCTTCGGAGCAAAAGACTTTCCCGAGGGATATATTCTCTTCCTCAGGGACAGGAGAGTTACACTGTACACATGAATTCAACAAAACGGGTACCCGTGAGAGTTACCAGCAGAAGCTGTCGAGAACGCATGCAGTGTAAATGAAACCGGGTTTTACCTTATATTCGATCTCTGACCCGCATATCTACAATACAAACAACAATTTCACACTGTGATTTTTGAAAAAAAAATTGAAAAAAATATATATAGAAAAGAAATATATATACACTTATATATATTTTCTTTGTGAAGTATAATGTGCCAGTGTGTCGTGTGATTATAAAGTGTGCGTGGATATTCGCTGACATGAGTTGTGTGTATAGTATTTACTAAGGGAGTTCTTACATGTTTGGGGCGCCAGAAACCAACCCACCGAGAATTCTACCGCCAACAGCATCAACACATATGAAGGAAGAACCACTGCAGCAGACGACAGGACAACCAGCCCCAATTAGGAACTGGATGCAGCCTACGGTCGTCGACCAGGGTGGGGGAAGGTAGATATTTATTTAATCAAACAAAAACAACTTAATTTGTAATATTTTTTATTTCATTTTTACGTGAGTGTGTTTTTTATTTAACTCAACTTTGAACGACGTTCATTGAATTTTATCACAATTTTCACACTCGCTTTAAACTGATGTCTGTCGTTTCGGTATCATCGGTCAAGTTCACATAAGGGATTCAATCCAACACTGTTTACTGACAGGGCTAGCCGACGTTCGGACGCTTATCACATTTACAATCCGCAATGAGAAGCTATGTTTTTCAGTCCCTTGGTACTTCTATTCAATATATAACAGCAATGTCCGAAATTCCATTGGGTGTTTTCTTTACCTTGCAGTGTTGGTTTCGGACGAGCACACTTTGAGAAACAACCCCCAAGTAATCTACGGAAAAGCAACTTCTTTCATTTTGTATTAGCTTTATACGATAGGCAGGGCCAGCCTATCGAAGTTGAAAGAACTGCTTTCATAGATTTTGTTGAGAAAGAACAAGTAAGTTTGCAGGTCAATATCAATTTTTATATTTTTATGACTTCTGGATGTTGATATTATCATCGAACCGTAGTTACTGTGTACAGTGAACATAGTTTTGATGAAGTGACTCATTGGACATTTTTGTTATACATATCATCTCTTTTTTAGAAATAATATATCTGTTATATACGTTTCTCAATCCTGTATTTTATGACGTTTTTCTCTTATTTACGACATATGGCGTTCCTGTGAAGTCAATCTGGGAATCTCATTAAAACGCAAAATAGCTTGTTAGGCCGAGCACTTGGAATGAAATATTCATAAACGGCATTACACTGAAAACATGGGAAGCACACGGTGAAAACATACTCAGAAAGACATAGCATAAAATGAACAAGTATTATTTAGTCTCAGTATACATAAGTAAATCGATCTGCTTAGTTAATTTTGTGGAATTCGATGTTAAAATCAACTCGTAAAATAGAAATAGCAATGTCTCTTGGACTGGTATTAAGAATGTTTACTTTTGGACTAAAAACAAACGTCAGTGTTTCTGAAGATATTATAACCTGCTTTTTCAGGAACCCGAGGGACCAAAGACAAACAATGGGATTCATTACAGATTACAACTTCTATTCGCAAACGGTAAGTAGTTAAAAATACTGTTTTGCGCATAAAGAATTCTAAATGTTGCATATTTTTTATTATATTGGCTGGAAATATCAGGCTACAGGTCCATATTCTTGAATGCGTGAGAAATATATTGAATATTGTTCAAAATATTTGACACCAGTTAAAAATGTGTCTCATTAAAGTATTCGTTCATTAGTTCTATCCGTTTTCACTTATGTCATGAACAGGGAGTCCTTTTATTTAACATATATCCTATGTATTTTCAAAAAAAACCTTTATCGACATGTGAACCTTTTTTTATATGTAAAAGACGCGGTCAGGTTTCAACAATTAAATAAACATCTTATATTTAAAAGTATATAATGCATTTAGCAGAACTCACACAGTACTCAATAGAAACCGACATGAAATATATCTTATCTATCACTCAAAGTAATGTAAATAAATGCGTGACCGTTCAGTGTTCTTGTTAAACCTATTTATCTAATGACTGTTTATATTTGTCAGTAATATAGAATATTACGAAATGCCAATGTATATGTGTATTCGAGCCGAATAAAAATCCCATGAGGCCAATTATTTAGTAGTCCCTCGGAAAGTCTTTGTCACCTGTGGGTTTTCTCCGGGGACTCATAAACAAAACAGTCATTATAAACAATATGTTTTAGACCGATAATTTTGGTCTCGGCTGATGTTGAATAATTTACACACAAACATCATGCTTGCGATTAATTCCAACAGGTTTAGCCCTCTTATGTGACGTTTTTAACAATGTTTATGTTTTGTTTTGTTTTTCGTATATGCCTTTATGATTAGGCCAACAAGCGGTTTAAATATATATTATATGTAAATATTTATTTCTCATTCACTAATTTGTCAAATTAACAAGTGAACAAATCCCACCGAGTGTTGTTAACGCATAATGTAAAATACTGTAAAGTAATTCTGCACTGTATATATTTGTGTGGTCTTATAAATAATTCCTACTTGAAAACAATACCAGAATAATATGGTAGAATGCATTCTTGTTAGGAAACCTGTCATATTTATTTGTAAATATACATATATGTTTAGAAACATATCCATGATAATGAAATACGATTTATCTACAATTAGAAATTTAAGCAAATTCAATTCCAAATATTGCCAGAAAAGAAAAATCCAGTAATTAATTCAGGAATCAGTTTGAACTTTGAACTGGTAGTTCTTTGATTGATACGAATAGTCATGTTGGATCTAAACAATCTTTGTTTACCTAATATCGATATTTACAGGATTTCGCGTCATAAAATCTGTTTTCCCTATATATTCTGAGCAGTGTTTTTATTTCTCGAGAATTAATGATATGTTGAGATAAAACTGTAGTTGACTTGTTGAATATCATTGAACAATATCGAGATCAAATATCATATGTAAATATTGACACGGGCATCATCGCGCTGTTCCTATAGCACATTAGTAACGATTGTATCGGAAAATAATTTTCTTTTTTCCCTCTGTGAACAGAAAAATAATCGCCGTTAATGATAAAAAATAATCAATCGGTATTCATGTACTCGTCTGTATGAAGAGGTTTGAAAGCTACTGGTTACCGGTAAATGATGGATTGGGGATACATTTTCCAATCCTTTTTGATCGAACTAAAGAGAAAAGTGATTAAATAAACTATTTTCGGCTAAATGAATTTGCTAAATTAATTTCCTGATATGATCACACGTTTATTAGGATAATTTAGTCTTTAAATTATTACTTTATATTTCGTCTCCGATTTGACTTTTAAAGGAATCGGTAATGGTTATCACTCAACAGAAGTCAGTCACAAAGAAATATTTTCATAATTTTGAAGATGAATAATTTGTGTCAATTTATGGCATTGTCCAAAATCAAATTAAGCAAATACGTGTATTTAAAAAAAAACTGTCTGGTAAATAAAATAGGTATTTATAATGGGTTATTTCCAATAAAACCAAGCAAAACGCATCGTTAGTTATTTTGTGTCAATTGAGAAATTACGGTAAATGGCAAATTGATATGCAAACAATTAATATAATTCTGGGAATGATCGGGATGGTCTCTGGGAATGATTTGTATGTAAACAGAGCAGACGAGTGTCTGTTTAGATGGTACGAGCTTCACTGACAAGAACACTCGATACCTCACAAGTCGTCTTCTACTAACGAGATTGGTCGCTGATTGTTTTTACATAGGCCCGTTAACAGCTGTTGGTGTATAGGCATTAACGATCCGGAACACCCGGTGTTGGTTTTAATGTTTGTTTTCCCCTTTATTTTACAGGAGTTCGGCAGGAACAGGACCTTTATATTCGCCTCATTGACTCCGTCACAAAAGGGGTAAGCTATTTCACGAAGTCCCAAAATATCAAATCAAAACGAAACGTGAATTTGTACTCCTTTTTTAAGATAAACAACAACAATAACACAATGAAATATTTATAATTTACAAAATGTATCTTTCACGGAAATACACGTAAATAGAACTAAACAAAATGTATCTTTCACGAAGGAATGAGACAAGTTTGATATATTAACAGATTAGAGAGTAAACAAACCGTAAACAACCAGTAAACAAACAGAAGCCTCAATACAGAACAAAAGGAGCGCAAACGTAATTCTACGAAAATGTCAGCAGTCGGCATTAAACCTAATTAAGAAATTGATTTATCTATTATCATGTAACCGAAAGCAAACTATGCGAGACAAAACCATTTGTTTAAATCATCATTTGTTTTTACATTACGAGAGAAAATTCCTGGCATGAAGACAGTACAAAGTAAGATGCGTTCCATTGTGTCCGTAATGGACGCCCTAGTCAGCTCCAACCCATCTCTTGAGAGTGTTAATGGTGACTATAATGATATATTGACTATTTACACTGTATCCTATCATGTCGTGATGGAAAGATCTACTGGGAATAAACATTAACGAAAAAAATCTTTGTACAAAGGAAGTATAAAATTTCACTGTACAATCAGTTTGTATGTTTTTATCATAATAATAATTCCGGAAATATTTTTACCCGGTTTTCCGTTTCTGACGCTAAAAGTTGCCATCTTCAGTTTGTGACGTTGATGGAATTACCCGTTCATTGCTATTCGTTTTAGTTTAATTTGTAATCGGACTATTTCCTTAGCGTAATGTTTTAACAACACTGACTGACTGTATCATGCAATCGACATAACTCAATTTTTCATCGTCTAAATCGATTTTCTCTGGTAATACAATTTGCCTCTATTGAAATTATGAGTATTCGTCACCTGATTTCCAGAATTGCAGTTTTTTTCTCTCTCTCTTTCGGAAAATCACTTAATTCCTTGGATTTCCTATGTTTATATTCCTAAACTACACTATTAGCTCTAATATGAATTAAACTGCAATTAAATCCGTTTTGTCCGGACACAAAATTGATCGCTACGCTTCCGAGCGACGAGTATGCAAGCACACAGTATAATGAATAATGACCTGAAATCCGGATTTCTGGAATGTCACACACGGTCGGTTTTTGCTTTTAGTTTCCCCATGCTATTTTTCCGGAACATATGGCATCAAAGTTTAGAGATTGGTTACTAATGTAAATGAAATTCTCGCGCAATTGTGTGATGCTGTCTATGGCACGTTCCGTGCGCGTGTCACATAGAAAAATGTCTCGGCGCAGAGTCGGTCTGAAGTCTAAAACTAATTTACTGGGAAATGCTGCGAGGTAGTGCAGGCGGGAGGCTTGTATAGACACTAACGCATTGTAGAAGGACTGCAAACTGAATCAATTAATCGCACTCTCATTGTACTGCTTATTATGGCTCACTTGCTCAATATTGTCCGTTATTCATTAGCTATTGCCTGTGCCGTCATTGTAAAGTATAAATATTTTATGGCTAACATATTGGGATCGCGAAGAGAGACACGACGGGAAGGAGAGGATTCAAAAGTACCCACTGAATATATACACTGCGGGGTCGGCATCCTTAAACATTGGAAAATATATATTGGTATCATCATCCTTAAATACTATATTGAATGTAAATCGAAATTTGCCGTTGTCTTTTACCCAGCAATTGTATTAGGTATTTTATGGTGGAACGGTGTTGATGGACAAACTGTGAAATGAAATTCAGAAAACAGTTCACTGTGAATCAGGTCACAGATTTGACTGATAGTAAAAAAACTTAACTTGAAATTATTCGAAAAAAATCTAATCTAGAATTGGTTATATCTAATAATATTTCAAACTGTGATTTTCCATCTCAAAAAGTGTATTATTAGGACCATGACCGCTGTACAATATTACAATTCAATCATATAAAGAACATCACGCTCTATATGCACATGTGTGATAGTAAACAAACGCCACATAATATATCAACATATATATAATGTCACCCACAATACGTAGCACTATAACAAGTGATATTTTGTTATCACTTCACGGATTTTTTTTATCTATTTAAGTGACACAACAAAAAGCAGCCATGTTATTGTGAAAACAAAATTAAAAAAAAAAGAAGATAAAAACCAGCATTGTTCATATTTTCATGATGAAGAGATAGGTTTGTTATAATTTTATATTCGAGTGTTCCAATTCTGGTTTTGAATCTTTATGAAATATTTTGATTACGGTGTCACTGTTAGCAGAAATGCTGGCGATAATTCTAATTATACAACACACCTGTCAGAATTACCTAATGACACGTCCACATGACATCTATACCTGATCAGTATCTGGGCTCGTTCGATAATTAATTACCCCAACGGGAATTACCTGCAACTGAACAGTTCTAACATTTCTCTGGATTTATGGGTGTGTGTATTTTTATTTTTATTTATTTTTTTACCCTTTTTATTTAATTTGTAAACTGTAATATAAGAACCTATATTATTTGTTGAAATGTTACTCTTTTTTCACCACTGATCTATAAATCGATTGATAAATGATCGATCACAAAATCGGTCAATCATTATCGTGTTGATGTAAAATGTTTTGAATTATGATGAAAATGTATGTTTTGACTTAAATAACTGAGAAAGTAAGATTTATGAAGCATCTTCTCATTTTGAGCAAATATTTGGCCTTAGGGAAAAAGAAATATTTTTCTTTCGATGGTGCTTTGCACAACCAAAAGAAATAAACAAACAGGCAATCATGTACAAATTATCCGTGTTTTCATTAAATTTTGTTTGTATGGACTTTTTGTGGTTACGTAAATACACGCACACACACATATATATATATACTATATCTTCATGCTTTGTTTATAAATGAATGTCTTAGAATCTATACATTGTCTATTACTAATTAATCGGAAAACAATACAATAGACGGGATTTTTTTTCAAGTATTACATTTTATCTGAAACGTATATATATTTTTTTTATCTTATGCTGCTCTTTTTTTCAGGCTATTGTTTATGAAGGCCAAGATAAAAACCCAGAAATGTGCCGGGTGCTGCTTACGCACGAGGTGATGTGTAGGTAAGACTACAATGAAATACAACTTAAAACAACCAGTGCAGGGCATATCGCCAAGTACACGGGTGTGGTACATTACAAATGGTTACTAGTCGGGTCATTTGGTAAGAGGGTGCTAGAGAGGGAAAAATAGCCGACAGTGAATCTTTGGTTATTGGTGGTAACTTACAGAGCCATAAAAAGAATGAAATATACATGTTAAGTTACTAATGGGTAACTAATAGCGAATATGACGACAGTAAGGTGCGCGTTGTGTTGGTAACTCGAGTACATGTGAAAGACAAAGTGGTGTACATTTCAGGTTGTTTCGGTAACTTATAAAGTGGTGAATTGTGGTTTCCCTTTTAGGTAACTAAGGTTACTTTGTAGTAAAAGATATTAGGTGTACATATTTTGTTACTAATGGTAACTAAGCAATGAGAAAAACTATTGTTTTATTTTGTTAACATACTTTGAACCATGAAACTAGTTCATCCATCCAACCGTGAAATTCACCGAAATTTAAAAGATCACACAGACATAAAGTCTTAATTCTTTCACTTATTTTTTATTTATAGAAATATAAAGCCGACTTCGATTATCTATTTTTGTTACCAATGCACAACAGGGACGTTTAAACAGGTCTTTGATTATTTACGGATATATGTGTCAATTGTTTAGATAAGTGTAGAAATCAACACCTGAGAATGCTATATATACAACAAACAGCGTCGTTGGAAAGAAAACCGTACCAAACACCGGGAAATTTCCCTGGGGTCGAGCGAAATGAATATTCTATGGGTGATATCATATAGCGATAACAATTGATGTCTTTTGATGTGACTTCATTCGTCATAGATTGATAAGTATCGGTAGATACAGGTAAACAATAGGAGTACACAACGTCAGGGCGAGGTAATAGAGAGCCCTTCTATCCCTTGGGGTCAATTTATAGGTTTCCACTATTAACGATAAATCTGATCCCTTCGTAATAATTTATACTAAGTCGGTGAACCTGTATATCCTATGAAGCATATCGATATTAACTCACTTTTATAACTGTTAAATGGTGATTAATTAATTAGAAAGTGTGGATTGATATGAAAACCACCCATTTAACCGTAAAGAGTTGGTCGTACCCAAAGGAATATTATAAAAAGTGAAATCGAGTTGCCTAATTGCAACTGAAATGAACAATTGATATTGTTTCGACCGAAACAGTTTGGTTTTTATAGAAAATCAACTTCATTTTTTTAAATAAATAAAGACATATATTCGTGCGAGATTGTTTTTATTATTACTCATCTGGGAACAGTAAAGAATTGTTTTTGAACACTAGAAAGGGTTGTATACTTGTTTCATCATTAATTATAAATGAAATAATTAAGATTGGTAAAATTGTAATTATCTATTTTTGTTAAAGTGCCCGTAGTCCCCATTATCTATATTGCTGTTTTATATCCCTGCGTCTATTAAGGTTTGCTGGTTTTAGGTAGATTTCACTCGCGAAAGCAGCATTCTTTCCAAAGAATAGACCAGAATACATTAAGGCAAATTTAAACAAAAGGTATTGAAGAGATGTTTTGCATGTGCAAGTCGATGAAGAACTAATCAAAGAAGGTAGAATACACTCGAGGTTAACTGTTAAAAGGCACATCAACTTAAAAAGACAACATTCAACAAAAGAATTCTTAATTCATGCTAGTCACGGAAGCTAAAATCCACATAAAAAATCAGGCAAAGAATTCAGAAATGAAAAAGTACTTGAGACAATTCCGTAATTACTTAGTTATACAAGTACTTATTGATACTCTGTAACTAAATCTATCAGTTTAGTTACAACTCGGGCATAAATGCACATTGTACAAAAGTGATAAGAAATATCAAAACATGTAGTATAAATAGATATATGAAATAAGGTTATAATTGATACAGTGGTTCAGTTTCTGACACGCTACACCTGTTAGAAGACACCACCCCCTACTGGTAGCCCTTCAGTTTTCACTCTAATTATCCTGCCGTCGAGTCGGACACGCGTATCCCATCTGGTACAGTGGTAGGGGGTGGGGAGGGGTGGGGATAAAGGTTATTGATCAAATCTATCCCCATTCGTTACACCTTTTTGAGTTACTACACTTGCGATAGGGTAACCGATAAGTAAGAGGGATCTGACTCCCCAAAGGATCCACACGGTAGAGACGGGCTATCCGCTGTGTGATAACAACTAACAGCTACTAGTATTACACAGGGTCTCCGAAGATGTCTATTCTATGTATAATAGAACTCTTAAATTATTTTATAAACGTCGTGAAAAGATACGAGATACATATTCAAGTTTAAGTTTCGTTTTTTATCATCTGTCCTCCCATACCGTTATATAATTCCTAATATTAATACGTTTGTAATCTGTAGGCCCCAAACATGTATGTGTCATGCACTGTTAACAGTTCGAAAGCCTTGACATATAGACACATGATTTGTATGTGTCATGGTCAGCTGATGGTTTTAGGCCCCGAAAAGTATAGTTGACATGTACTGACGACAGTTTAAGTCGTTAATACTGTAGGTGTTTTATGTACTGGTAATAATCTGACGGCCCTGAACATGTTTTGTAAGTCGTTTGCACATAACATTGAGATATTCTGAAATTTTGAAAAATATTTTCATTATTTTGAAAATTGAAAATGAAGTGAGCATGCCGGGCAGTCTATTATCATCTTATCCGAAAAATAGGTTCAGGAAAGCTGATATAACATCTGGATTTAACAAATTCCTCGACCTTTACACAACTACTGACTGTTTGGTATAGTGTGTTCTCTACACCATCTGCTCTTACTGACTCTCTTATTTGTTTTCGTGTTTATTCGCATGTAAAATTTAAAAGATCCCGAGGAGTGATACATCTTAAAGTGCTATCGACATCAAATAGAAACTAAAAATAGACCCAGGGTTAAACTGACGATGGAAATGCTGTAATCTTTCTTTCTGTTACGTATGCTTTATTTTTGATAGATATCCACAAAATGTTAAAATGTAAACGTTATCTGAAATATTAAATGAGTTTTATTATACTGTCAAAACTGAAATTTATCGGTGTCGATTGGTATCAAAACTTGATAAATTCATCCTTTAATACTTTATCTTAATCTTTTTATGATTATTCAACAATGGGTTTGTTACAATTTATTGACTCCATACAAAACCATCCATTTAAACCCTACCGCAGACAACAGTACTTTTGGTCGTAATCTTGAATAAAAGTTCTCTTTGATAGATGAAATACTAATCTCCAATTGTCATTGCCCTTTAGCACGTGACTAGCAATGCTTACTTACAGCATGTACGTTTCAACCGCATAAATGACAGCACTTTGAATTTTGTTTTAAGACTACTATCTTTAACTTTGTGTGTTGTTAGTTTTACTCAATATTTAAGATCCATTTCATCTTCATTTGCTCTTTGTTCAAAACACCAGTAAGGGATATGTTATTCTAAATGATAATTATTTTATCTTATTGTCTTTTTGGACAATTCTTTACCATGTGGTTTGCATTTTAAAGTTATCTCCCCTATTTATTTACTTCCTGTGTTTTTTTTTTCCAGCCGTTGCTGTGATAAGAAGAGTTGTGGAAACAGAAATGAAACTCCTTCAGACCCCGTCATCATAGACAGGTAGGCGATCAAATATATTCATTCACCCTATCTAGTGTACAGACGTGTACAGACTGAATTCATGGGTTATCTCCCATGATTATTGAAAATATTGCTTTTTCACATAATCAAATTTTCCTGACCTGCAACCTGTTACAATACCTCATATTTACAACAAAGATTTAAATTTCTGAAACGTCTTTAGAATTAATCACACTAAGATTTCATAATCCTTCATAAATTAAACCTGGTTTATATACTTTGATGTATTTTCTTCAAATATGATTTCAGAACTTGCTAATTATGTTCACATTGGCAGAACGAAAGATACAATATTCAATTACATACATAAGTAATTAGATAAAATAGAAAATACTCTGAGTTAAAATAACAGAATTATCCAAATATCCTTTAATTTTATCAACGATTTCAACCATACCATATCAGGTCTGGAGATGTTAGGATAACTTGTCAATAATGTTGATATTCTTAAAAAGTAGAGTTGAGATCAGTTTATAAATAGTCATATCTACTTTTTGACAACTGAAGTCATTTATTTACCATAAACAATCACTGCTATAAACACACACATTAATCAAATGTTTGATATGAATGTATATTACATACAAATTTATAACGTATACTTGAAACATTACGTTTGTGTTTTAAAATAAGTAAAAAATATTATCAAAAAATACGTGCTGTCAGGATAGTTTAGGTCAACATTTTGCTTGTTTACTTTCTGAAATATGTGGGGCTACGTATTTATAGATCAAGTGATAACGAGATAAGTATATATATATATACATACAAAATATATGCACAGATCGATAAGGGTTGATCGGAGTGTCTCCTAGTGGAAACAAAGTGGACATATACTTTTATTCTCTGGTCAAAATGGCCAAACGTGAGGTAATGGAACCCGACCATTACGTTTGTTTGTCTGGGACTGTTACAACTATTGATCAGATCCCGGTCCTACTGACTCAACAGCAGATATTATATCATTTATACGAAAGTACGGCTTATACAGAAAAAATAACTCACGCGAAATGGACGGAAATGTAACCGACATCGGAGAGACAATTAAGACAATGTATTTGATGATATGCGTAATATCTTCCAAATATGGTGACTATATCAAATTGCAGAAATTGATTAATGTAAAATAAGTATAATCGGTTTGTACGCCTTAATAAAGAAATATTAATTAATTAATTCTTTCTTTCATTCATTCATCCATTCATTCATTCATTCATTCATTCATTCATTCATTCATTCATTCATTCATTATTCCATTTTTTCTGACATTACAATTGTTTTGTATTGACGTCATATTTACCTAACGTCAGTGAACGATTCACAACTTGATGAATTATATATCTATACAACGTTAGATTTAAAATGAAACATAACAATTTATAGAGATGTATGAAGCCATTTCCACTGCTGACTTTCGTACCTCGTCACATGCTGTTTCTGACAAATTTAGCCAAGACCTGGTTCAAAGTCTGCACTAGTTTCATTTGTTACAGAAGACGCTATCCCGGAATTGGGAAACATTTCTTGTTTTGGACATCAGAAATTAGCGTGTCATTTCGCACCAGCAAATGGTGATGATTATACTCAAACGTTTAATTAAACCAATTGATAATTATACGTCTGCTGTGGCTTTTTAACCTTTGCACGTGTGTGAGGGTCCTCAATTTGCCTAAAAGGTTATTTATAGAGCAACATCCCTCATTCTTCTATACACTCCACAGCATGAGACTTTGTAATTTAGCGACATGCGTAGTTGCTAAATCCTATCTGACCCCGCCCCAATTGTTCGAATTAATTGATATTCTGTCGATTTCCTATAACGGTTTAGAATACAGAAGAAATTCATCCCCTGCATCTATTTCAAAGACCCACGAGAATTGTAATTCATATATGCTGTCTTTAAATGTGACAAGGGTTATCAATTTCTTATTTGCATGCAGACCTGTTTTAATGTTACCGAATTTAATATAAGTTATGACAAACATTTTTATCGAGAGCGGTTATGATATATGCAAGACATTTACTTTGCCGTTAAGTTCAAAGATGACAAGGTAAATTCAACGTTGTAAGAAGTTTGAGAACATTATGAATTATGAAAACAAGGTGTCGAGTGCCTGGTGCTTTTACATAATATCATTCGTTCAAATTTTCTCAATGCTAACATAGAATCGTTGTGATCAGTTTTGTGTTTAACCTGTGATAAGTAGAGGAGCTGTTTCAAACAAGTTTAACCTTTTTAGAACCCCTGGCGAGTATTTAAAGTTTCATTTTAACGATATTTAATGCAGATATTTCATTTCATTCTAAAATACTGTCCATTTCAATTAAGTAAACGTTTTCTGTGATGTTATGCAATCTTAACTGAGATTATTAAATTAATTTCGATGTGAAAGTCCTATACACAGTTATGTCATTATGGTTGTTCCTGTACGTCACTAAAACCTCCTGCGTAGTTCCCTACAAGCATTATTAACATAAATAACAGTATAAACATTACGGTATTTCTTCTATACACAACTTTCCCTGGCCGTGTCTCTCACCACTGCTACAGTCATATTTTGATATGTTTTTACGTCTCCTGACGGACTAGGAGTCCACATACCGGTATGACAATCCTACCCGGTTGACAGCTGGTCCGGGTCTTTAGCCAGTGCGACCCCTGCATCGCCTGTATCGAGCTAGTTCTATTGTACCGAAGCTTCCATATTAGCCATACACAGTTAATTAAAGTGAACAGGGCACCTCATGCTCGTCTGGTTGACGGATGGCGGCTTCTCTACCCTGCTCACAGCCAGCCGAACCCTGAAAGGCAAAATAAGGGAATAATTAGGCTGATTCCTAACGGAAAACACGCTGATTAATTAGCATTTCCTTTTTTAAATAGAGTGTAAAATCAATATCTTTTCTCAGAGAATTTGTAAGTATACTGCTAGATCTTGACAAGGTTTCGTCTGTGGAATGTCTCGTGATTGTTACGATAGTCACAAGGATTTATTTATTCAGTTACTTATTCATTCTTTTAACAAAAAAACAATATATTTGTTATATTCAATAAATCATTCTTCCCCCACCAAAACGTACTTTGAATTTGAGTTGTGGAGAAACAATTGTTTGTATGTTTCGCTGACGTTCTAAGTAAAATGATAAATCTTAGCCAGAATATCTCTCTATGTATTAAATCGTTAACATATATGGTCTCTGTGCCTTAACATAACAACCTTCTCTCCAAATACCTGTCTTATCTAAATCTGTTGACGAATTGTTTGCACATTTCAATATCTCTATTGAGTATTTGGTGGTTATTTCACGAATCGTAGCAAAACACAGTTTTTAGTTAAAATGTAAACGATTGTAAACGATAAACAGAATGCTGAATGACTATCAAATATATAATAATGTTTTTTCAAGGAATAGAATTATTAAATTATTAATAAAATTAGTAAAATATTGAATTAGTAAATGCAAAGTTGTGAAATATATCCAAGTAGGTGGTTTTACACATTTAAACATATCAGTAGTTGAAGACTGTATAAAAGACGCACAGGTGAATGGCACCTTTAAATACAAAATAGAAATTTAATACAGCAGCCTCAGATAATGAACTACACTGCATCATACAGCTGTCCTTCTAGGACTCGGTGATGTTTAGGGTCTAAATCGTGAAAGCTTGAGGTGAAAGAGTAAATTCCAAATTGATCAAAAGAAATGTGAAAATCTAGATGGGGAGTTCTAGCCCCGTAATTAGATAAATTTGGTAACATTTGAACGTGGTATATGTATAATGATGTAATTCGTATAAATCGTTTGAGGCAAAACTGCACACATATTGTGTGACTTTTTATCATTACCAATGCTTATATAGAGACAGACGAAAACAGAAAACCGACCATTGTTGTAAAAGTGAAAGACAGCTATGCTCAGTGGTATTATATCCCAGGGTCATACATTAACCGAAGGATATATGTCCATGATCATGCAATATTTGTGTTAAGCACGCGGGTACAACCTTGTTTAGGACCTAGATAGACCCAGGATCACATGGTGTTATCATGATAATCGCAAAGCTATAGACGTTACCGTCAGAAATATAAGATCTTTATGGTCAGTATCCTTATCAAGACGTCTTATCGCTTACGTCTGGTATTAGAGAAGTGTAAATTATTGTGAAATTCCAGCCACACTTTCTTATCAGATTCATTACTTTACCAGATATTGGTGAAGGCAAGAGGCATATCTATAGTAAATAGTTAAAAATCCCAGCTGTAAGCCAGAAATATATAATATTAATTTCGTTACACAACCTATCACAAAACAAATATTGTATTATGGAATGATATATTTGAATAATATTTCTAAAAATATTAAATGGAAACAGCAGATTAATGGAATTTATTGCAATTTATTGTCGTTTTAAAAATCTAGACAAATTTATTCATACAGGACTGGAGTACTAACCATCAGATGTATTTGTTATCTAACGTTTCTATCCAGATAATCCAGACACGGTCTAGATAAGAATCGGTGTTGACGATGAGACAGGCCAATGTTGTGATGGATATAATGTTAGTTTTATCACTCATTGTCATCTTGTTTAACAGCACCATCTTCATTTTGGGCACAAGATCCATATCGAAATATTTTACAAAACCGTAAAACTAATGCTATTATTTTCAATATTTATCTGAGAAGCCATCACTATGTACTAGCGTTATAATTTCTGTCACTATAATCTGAACACAGCTTTTAGCTGATTTCATCTTGACCTCCTGTACTCAATAGCTCACAAGATCGAATCTGAAACATCAGCGCCATACTTCAGACAAAAGGAATCCTTATTCCACTATAAAAACAGCTTTGTGTAAGCAACAGGCATGATTCCCGACTATGTAATGAGTCTATTAGTAAATTGACAAAGCGTTAACATTGTCACAGAGCACAGGGAGGCATGGCAACGAATTCTCTTTATCTTGTGTTTTATT